TTGGAAGACTTTGAGTCTTGACACACATCTTGTGTGATCTTGGACATGTCTTTTAATCTCTCCAGGTTTTGCTTTCCTTATCTGTACAATAGCAAAATGGATTGGGATTAGATAAAACCATGGGTGTGGCTATGCTAAGGGAAACAAAAAGTAACAAAGCCTCTGCAGTGCAAGCCCATTTTAGTGCTGTAGTTGTGGGCCCTGCTTGCAGCCTAGGAAGGCTGGGAGAACAAAATGACAAGACAGATGTGAACGTACCCAGAATAGAGTAACTAGCACAATACCACTCAAAAGTATGAGAAGGGAAAACTTCTGTATTATAGGAATGAGAAGTGAAGGGCTTTCCTTGCTTAGGAATGAGGAGGTGTATTCTTCAGAATGCACGTGAAACTGCCTGGAAACATAGTTGACTCTTGCTGTCACCTCTCACCCCTGAGCTGCAAAAGGTTGAGTCTTAGAATAGTATCTCATAAAACCAGTGAGTTGTGGATTGAGGTCAGGGGGAAGAGAGAAATTACAATCCTCTCTGGGCTGGATAGAATCACATTTTGGATGGAGTGTCAGAATACCCAGTTCATTCTAACTTCATTTGACCAACTGGTGTTCACATCCTATATCCATGTTGCATATACACCCTCTGGACTTTTATTAAACAAGGATTTATTGAACACCTACTGTCCATAAAGAGATAAGCATAACATAGTTTGTGTGGGAAAGAGGTCACTATCTAGTGGGAGAGAGAATCAAATCGATATATGTGATAGGTGACATAATGAAGGTAGCTTTGGAGCTATAGGAGCATAGAGGATAGATAATTCCATTGGAAAAAGGTCAGAGAAGTCTCTCTAGAGAAGATGAGCACTTTTTTGGCTGTGTACTCAAGTTGTTGTTGTTGTTTGCCGTGGTGTCGTACCTGACTTATAGCGACCTCTCCTTGGGTTTCTGAGGCAGTATCACTATGGAACTAGATTGCCCAACCTTCCTTCCAAGGAGTGGCTGGTGGGTTTGAACCACCAGCCTTCTTGTTAACAGTCAAGTGCCTTAGGCACTATGACATCAAGAGGCATCTGTTATCATTTGCTATTGAACTTAAAGGAGCCCTCCTGGTTTAGTGGATAAGGCATTTGGATGCTAACCAGAAGGTCAGTGGTTCAAACTACCAGCTGCTCCACAGGAGGAAGATGAGGCAATCTACTTCCATAAAGATGGAAACCCAGTGGGAGTCACTATGAGTCAGAATCAACTCAATAGCAGTGGGTTTGGGTTTTTTTTATTAACAATTAGAAATGTTCTCAATCTTGAAGGTAACTGATTTGGCTAAACATATCAACATAATTCCTTTTCTTTCTAGGTTTATAATTTCACTGGTGTGAACACACCACTGTTGTTAGGACCTTCATGAACAAAACATTTTAACTCCATAAATCAGTGAGAGGCTGGGAAACAAAAGCTAACAATCAAGTTCATAGTGTAGCTTCACGATGCTTGTCTACAGGCCCCTCTAGATGGTGTGAACACTTCATCCTTCCTCTGGGGCTAGCAATTCTCTCCACAGTCTCAGTCATTGCCTTTGGTGTACCACTTCCCTCTGGTGGGCAACCCACTTTTCCTCCCTTCCACCTCCCTCCTCTTTCCTCTGTGATGACAGCAGCCTGGGGAAGAGAAGTTGTTTGAAACTCCTCACTGTCAGCTAGCTTCAGTTTCTTTCCCTGCACCATGACATCATCTCTACCCTGGAAATTCCACTTACCCTCCTGTGCCCCCACTTCCATCCAAGGCCCCAAAGGCCCTATAAAAAGGGATTCCCAACTCAGTATCAACACAGACACAGTCTGGGTTCTGAAGCTTCTGAGCTCTGTAGTCTCAGCTTCTGGAAAGCCTCTCCTCAGCCAAGACCATGAAGCTCTGCGTGGCCGTTCTCTCTCTCCTTGTGTTCGTGGCTGCCTTTTGCTCTCCGGCCCTCTCAGCACCAAGTAAGTCCACAGTTTCAGCTGCTATTTCTAGAGTCAGAGTGCACGCAGAGCCCACTTATCTAGTTGGGGCTGGTCCATGAGTGGGACCTACAGCAGGGACAGAAAGGGAGCTGGAAGATTCCAAATAGTTTGTTGTTCAATGTAGATTCTAGTAGACATTCAATAATATTTGAGTTCCTGTGTTTTTAAAGAAACAATTAGCAACCAATAGAGGAGAAAAAGGATCAGGCTAGAAGTCAGACTGAAGAACTGACTCAGCTTCTAACTACTTATTCAAGCAAGTCCTTATTCTCTGTGTCTTGGTTTCCCCATCTGTAAAATGAAGGAAGTTCATTGAGTCTCTGAGACTCAATCCAGCTGCAATCTTTCAGAATTCTTCCATAATCTTGAAGATCCTCTATTCAAAACAAGATTCCCACTCACGGTGGGTGGGATTGTTTGCAAGGGACCATATTTGAGGTTCTGGTAGTTCCACAGAAATGCACATAAATGAGAAGCTCCCATGTGGCACTTTGATCTCACTCCATCTTTTCCTTTTAGTGGGGTCAGACCCTCCTACTGCCTGCTGCTTCTCTTATACCATGCGGAAGCTTCCTCGCAACTTTGTGGTTGATTACTATGAGACCAGCAGCCTCTGCTCCAAGCCAGCTGTGGTGTAAGTATCAACCCCTGGGCTCCTCTAGGAGGCAAAGGAGAGGGTAGGAGAAGTGAAAAGGGAACCCTGCACCAGAGAGGCGAGTCTCAGGACTTAAGCTTTGGTGTCTAGGGAGCAATGAGGAAACAGGCCATGAGGTTGTTTGTGAGCACTGTGGGAGCTGAGCGGAGCCAAAAGAGAAGAGGGGGTTCCTGGAAAGAAGTTAACCAGAGGTTAGGAAACCAGAAACTGTAAAATAAGGTCACATAAGATGTGAATTGATTTTTTATATCATGCCAGAAAATACATAGAAAAGTCATTGTTAGGGGCAGTAGGGAATAGGGAGCTATATCCATCTTAATTGCAAGACACTGATTCCTAACCTGGGAAACACCTGATCTACAATTAAGTCCAAAGGGTAGAAGCTACAGGGAGTCTGGTTTCATTCCCACCCCAGGAGCACCATCCACTAGAGCTGGCCACTGTGAACCATCAGTGGTGGTGTTCAAGTAGAGGGAGATACCTGCTGCCTATAGCAGAAGAATAGTACCAGAAGTCCTCGAAGGTTCCATGGGATTCTAATCTGTCCACTTCTCCTTCCCCAGATTCCAGACCAGAAAGGGCAGGCAAGTCTGTGCTGACCCAACTGAACCCTGGGTCCAGGAGTACGTGGATGACCTGGAACTAAACTGAGCTACTCCAGGCCTAAGAGCAGCAAGTCTCCAGGGAAGGCCACCAGAACCCCAACACTTCTCATCGAAACACATCTTCTCTACACTCAAGACTATCTCAATATTCCCATGTTACTTCTTTTAATTTAATCTTCACCACGTGTCATATTATTGTATTTGGTGATGTTTCTATTATTTATGTTTGTTTCGTGGAGGTACATTTGTCCCCCATGGGGATGATCCCCTGCTACTGTTTCTCTGCTATTGCAGATACTTGAGTGGTGTGGTTTCAGTCCATGTGTTTTTGTAATAAAATTCTTAAAAAACATAGACAATTTCTTTGTGGTTTTAATTTTATTTGGGGTAAAGGGAATTTCCTGATACTGGGTGGCACGATGGTTAAGCACTCAGTTGCTAACCAAAAAGTCTGTGGTTTGAACTTACCAGCCACTCCATGAAAGAAAAGATCTGATGCTTTGTTCCTGTAAAGATTACAGCCTAGGAAACTCTATGGGACTCTCCTATTCAGTCATATAGGGTCATTAGGAGTGAGAATAGACTCAGTGGCATACATCGACAACATTAGTATGGATAGATCTCTAGGTAGCACAAACAGATTGCCTTTGGCTACAAACCAAAAGGTTGGCAGTTCCAAGCTACCCAGAGGTGCCAGAGAAGAAAGGTCTGGCAATCTACTTCCATAAGATTACAGCCACTGAAAACCGTATGGAGTGCAGTTTTACTCTGACACATCTAGGGGTGCCATGAGTCAGAACTGACTCAACAGCAAGGTGTTTTTTTTTCTTTTTTGCCAGGTTGCTCGAGAATAGTGCTAAGCATGGATGCAATGTGGCCTTTGAAATCTCCCAGTCAGTTAAGTGCTTGGTTATGTGCCAAAGAGGGATGAAAATGGCAAAGGTCTTATAGAGCCATAAAATTGGCCATGGGCAAACAGACAACTAGACAGAAATAGTTGGAAGCCAAATTGGTGGACCTGAGTCTGTGTGTACAAGCTTTATCTTTTTCACTGGCATATGTTTTTATCCACAGATGACTTGCTTGGGTGCAGATTGTGGAAAGCTTTGAGAGGTGTGAAGAGTTACTGCAGTGGAACAAGTTTTAAGTAAAGGGTTGGGAATTCTCATTTGGACAAATGCAGGCTTTGTAGTGACAACAACCGGCCATGCAGCTTCCTCTTGAAAGACAGCTGGATGAATGCTGATGGAATATAAGATTAAACAACCTTGAATAATAAATTCCTGTAAAACAAACAACAACAAAATTATTGTTAGTACAGGTAGCAAGTTCCAAAAATAGTAAGAATTAGTAGTTATTGAGTTACTTCTATGTGTTCTGGACTAAATGCTCTAAATATACAATCTTACTTAATATTTCAACAAGGATTTTAACATCTTTATAAAGTAGAGACCATTACCCTCAATTTTATAGGTGAGGAAAAAGAGGTTCAGCAAGTTGACATGACTTGCCAAGTCTGCTTGGAGAGCACCACAAAAGGATAATCTGAAAAGAAAAGAGCTGTGGTGCAAAGGGTTCTCATTGCAGCATCTTACAGGGAAGTGTCACTAGAGGCAGCAGACAGTTTAGAGGGAGAGCAAGTAGTTCAGTTGGAAAAGTATACCTCCATCACTTATCACCAGGGTACGTTAGGGAAGCCATCTTACCTTACTGGGTCTCCATTTCCACACCTGTAAAGTGGTGCAATGGTTAAGCACTAGGCTGCTAACTGAAAGGTTGGTGGCTCAATCTCACTCAGTAGTTCTGTGGGAGAAAGATCCCATAAAGATTACAGGCCAGAAAACCCTACGGGACAGTTCTACACTGTCACATGGGGTCACTGTGAGTCGAAATTGACTCAATGGCACATAACAACGACAAAGTGGGGATAACATTATTCACTTCAAAGAGTTATTATGAGGTGATGTTAAAGCACCCATCATGGGTCCTGGCACCTTGAAGAAACTCTCCTCCCCTCCCTGAGCCTCAGCCTTTTCACTTACAATGGAAAGAGTGTCTTGTCCTCCCAGGGTTCATGAGATTCAAATTAGTCAATGGATCGGATTCTAAAGTCCAAAGCAAATATGAAGTATTGTCATGGGGACAGAAGAATGAGCATTTGGTTTGGTTCTGGATTATTGCTAGAGTAACCTAGAGCCGTATCTACATAATAATCCCTCAACTGGGAATCAGATGACATGGGTCAGAGGGAACATGGTTCTGAGATATAATTACATGCACAGCAGAGACTTAATCCATGGACATAGGATCATAGTCTATTAAAGCACAGAAGAACCTCTCAGACCATCTGGTCCAACCTTCTCATGGTATAGTAATTAAAAGCCAGAGATGGAAAAGTGACTCACCAAAGATCACTCCAAGTTTGTGACAGAGTAGGATTCCAGCCAGTGACAACTCCAGGTTAGTGCCCTTTCCTGTGTACCTTCCCTAGTGACACACCTCTGTGGTCCCCAAAAGGGTGATGCTTTGCAGGAGGAGGGTGAGGAGGGGACCACCTTGAAATAAGTTGAGTGCTCTTGATTCAATGCAAAAGCAGAACTGGGTGCCCTGTATTTTCCTGGGCCAATAGACACAATACCCTCCCTGTCCTGCCCTCAGCTACTTATATCATCTCAGAGCCCCGGTGGAAATCTCCTTCAGATTCAACAGGGACTGAGAAAAGGAGGGAGGGGGCAGAGCTGATCCAAACAGATGTGAGGAGGAGCTAGAAGAAAAGAAACTGCCTGATCTTAGTTTCTGCTTCATTTACCTAGTCCAGAGCTGGTCAGTATGTTAGCCCCTAGTCACATGTGGCTATTTAAATCTCAATTAGATTTAATTAAAATTATATATATATAAAGTAAAAGGTTAAGTTCCTCTTTCACACTAGTCAAATGCTCAATAGCCGCATGTAGCTAGTGGCTGTCATGTTGGACAATGCAGATATAAAACATTCCATCATCACAGAACGTGATGTACTATCTGACTGCTAACCAAAAGGTTGGTAGTTCAAACCCACCAGCTACTCCATGGAAGCAAGACTGAGCGATCTACTTCTATATAGATTTACTGCCTCGAAAACCCAATGGGGGTCGCTGTGAGTCAGAATTGACTCAATGGCAGTGGGTTTGGTTTTTGGTTTGTTTGTTTGTTAAAGGAACTGAGGAGTTCCTGGGTGTCACATACAATTAAGCACTTGACCACTAACCAAAAGAATAGTTTGAATCCACCAAGAGGTGCCTCAGAAGACAGGCCTTTTTCTGTTTCCAAAAAGTCACAGTCTTTAAAGCCCTGTGGAGCACAGTTCTGCTCTGCAACGCTTGGGTTACCATGAGTCGGAACTGACTCGATGGCAACTGATTTGGTTTTGGTTTTAAAGGGAGTGAAAGGAGGAGTAACTAGAGCGGCCTGGAAGGTTAGGGTGTGATCTTTGGAGAAAGATACACAACCCTATTTTGAGGGAGGGGTTGGGCAAGAGATTGGATGACCCTGAGGCCTGAGACAAGTATATACATCACTGTGGTAGGCTGAATAATGGGCCCAAGGTGTCCACACCCCAAAGCCTGTGAATGCTACTCTACAGGGCAAAAGGAACTTTGCAGGTGTGATCAAGTTAAGGATTTTGAGATGGGAAGATTATCTGGGATTGTCCAGGGAAATCCTGAATATAATCACAAACGTCCTTCTATGAGAGAGGCAACAGGAAGTTTCACAACAGAAGAGAAGAAGAGGCAATGTGAGAAGTGAAGCAAGATTCCACGGTGCCGACTTTGAAGATGGAGAAAGGGGCCATGAGCTAAGCAACGCAAGAATGCAATTTTAGAAGCTAGAAATGGCAAAGGAATAAAAGGATTTTCTCCTAGAGCCTCCAGAGAGTGTGGCCTTACAGACCTCTTGATTTTTGGCCCATTAAAAATGATTTTGGACTTCTAGCTTCCAGAATGATAGGAGAATAAATATGTGTTATTTTAAGTCACCAAGTCTAATTTTTACAGCAGCGCACAATCACCCAACTGAAGAGTCACTGCCATTGACTTTCTCGGCCCACCCTTTGTCGCTTACAAAGAAGTGTTCTAGAAAAGTGAGCTGAACTTCCCTGCAGGGAAAACCTAGGATGAGGTGGACACATTCAGAGGTGATGCACTCTATTGGGAGGAGGCACTCTCAAAAGGAAGGTCTGCTTTGGCAGCTGAGTACGAAGGCTAAGGCTTTACTTAGGGTACAGAAACCAGCAGCCAGGTTAAGAGGGAACGTGCCTCTTGACAATCCTCTGGCTTTCTCTTGGGCACTTGAATTCCTACCTGGAAAGGTCTTAGAGACCCATCCTTGCATTTGACAAACAAAACCCAGCGCTGAACCATGACTTGCCTCTGGTTTTACTGTTAGATTTTGGGCCAGAATCTGGTTCTCCTCTAACACAATTGAGTCCTTTCCTGCCCCTCTCTGCCCCTGAGCACACTGGAGGAAAGGAGTAACTCAGTCAGCACAGGCTAAAATATCAGGTGCCTCCCTCCAAGGAAAACTGCAGAAGCCTGATCATTTTCATGAAGAAATCCTTCATCCAGGAATTTCAACGTGAAACCATGGAATCCTCATGGTGGGGCAATGTGGGACTTCACCTATTGCCCAATATGAGACTGTTCTTTTTGTTCTCTCCTCCCCCATCTCTTTTCTTACAACTCCCTTTTCTTACCCTGGGGCCAAGGAGCTGGTATGTGCTTACCTTACTTTCTAGTTGCGTTTTCTCCAGGTTTCTGGGTGGGAGCCAGAGCCAAACAGATGAAGAAGAACAAGAGACGGCAGCTACCATTTGTGGGACAACTTCTGGATGTTAGGCCTGTGTTTTTCTACTCTGTTGCAAGGCCTCTCTCCCCAGTTCCTGCTCCAGATGGGGGGCGGGGGCAGGGAGAGTCTGCTTCCTCATGTACTGGGTCACTCAAACTCTCTGCCCTCTCCATACTCCATCCTACTTCATCCCAGAACCTTCCTCTAATGTCCCCATTGAGATAGGCACTTTCCTCCCAGGACATCAGGAGCAGAGGAAGCTGAGGCAGGGGTATAGGAGGAGAGCTGAGCTGGGGATGGTGAAAGAACCCAGGTTCTTCCGGATGGCTGAGTCCTACGGGCACTATCCTCTGGGGTTTCCCCTGAGTCTAAGAAGCTGAAAAAGCGAAAAAATTGTCGGCATTGGGAGGGAAAGCTGTGAGTATATTCTTCTATTTTTAAAATAGTTTTATTTTCAGATGTATGATATGGTTGGAAAATGTACAAATCAGAAGAAAAGAGGAATTTTTTTTTTTTTTTTCAATTTAGGGAAAGATAGGTCTGATTTTAACAAGATGGTCTGAAAGATTGTGTAAGTCAGAATCGACTCAATGGCAATGGATATGTAGACACCAAGGAATCCCTGGGTATTGCAAATGCTTAAATGCTGGAGCCCTAATCAAAAAGTTGGAGATCTGGCGATCTACTTCTAAGGCTTTGAAAACCCAGTGGGGCTCAAGTCTACAACACATTGGGTCACTTTGAGTTGGGATCAACTCCAAAGCTACTGTTTTTTTCTGGTTTTATGGAGACACCAGATGTTGGAATGCCTGACAGATGAGGACCCACCAAGTAGTTTGATATCATGAACTCAATGGTCTTAAAATTAATCATTTGAGAATAAATAATAAGATATGTTAATAAGATACGTATTAAATTCAAGGCATAAACGGATATCCACTAAAAAAATCATTTTCCCTCCTTGCTGTATCATCCAAGTATCTACCAGTTAGTTCCCTTCTCTATAGGCAATGAATTTTATCTTTCTCTCATGAACTAGTTCAAAGATTCAACAGCCTTTTAAACGCATCACGAAATGAAAGAACAAGAACAATGTTAAGGAGAGCCTGAAGCCACACTGAATGGAAGCTCAATTCCCTGTGCTTTTTGTAACTATCCTCAATCCTGGTTGGAGACAGATGAGCGGGCATGATAACTCATCTCCTTAGTTGATTTTCAGAAACCTAGCCAACATCAACTTGAAATCTGTTACAAACCAGCTTAGACCTGTTTTGGCCTGCAGACATGCGCAGTGAAACAAACTGAACACTTGCTCGGACCTAACACCTCCCCCTCTGCCTAAGCCCCAATCAGCTAATGACAGGAAGTCTGTGGAACTCGTCCAGTGAACAAGCGCCCTGCATTAAAAATTGTCTCTTTAAACCAAGGTGAATGAAACAGCCAATCTCCAGCCCAAATTCCTGAAATTTATGCGAATATATATAGACCCTTTTCTTGAAATTTACAAAAATGTATCCCAACCCTGATTTGGGGAGTCAGATTTGGGTACTGCCTCTATCACCTTACCATGTGCATAGTAATAAATTACTTTCTCATCTCTCAAGTACTGCAGCATGTATGAACTGATTCGGTTTGACTGGGCACTGGGCAGGGATTCCCTTTAGTCTGACTTCAAGCCTAGGCCATAAAGTCCTTAGGTTTCTAGTTTTTATCATGAAAGAACTTTAAACTGTCTTCCTACAAGCTTAGAGTTTCAAAGTTCTTGGCAGTTGTGCTCTGCGAAAAATTATATTCAGACATAAAATGTCTCCAAGAAATTTGAACACTAAGTCATGATATTTTCAATCACTTCATATGCATGCAAAAACTAGACAATGAATAAGGAAGACCAAAGAAGAATTAATACTTTTGAGTTATGGTGTTGGTGAAGAATCCCAAATATACAATAGGATTGCCAGAAGAACAAACAACTCTAAATCTGTCTTGGAAGAAATCCAGCTAGAATGCTCCTTAGAAAGGAGGATTGTGAGACTTTGTCTCACATCCTTTGGACACGTTATCAGGAGGGACCAGTCCCTGAAGAAGGACATCATGCTTGGTAAGGTAGACAATAAGCAAAAAAGAGGAAGACCCTCAATGAGGTAGACTGACACAGTGGCTGCAACAATGGGCTCAAACATAGCAACAATTGTGAGGATTGCACAGGACCAGGCAGTGTTTTGTTCTGTTCTACACAGGATCACTGTTGTTGTTGTTGTTATGTGCCATCGAGTCGGATCCGACTCATAGTGACCCCTCCTTGGGTTTCTGAGGCGTTATCACTATGGAAGTAGATTGCCCAACCTTCCTTCCGAGGAGTGGCTGGTGGGTTTGAACCGCCAGCCTTCTGGTTAGCAGTCAAGTGCCTTAGGCACTACGCTACATAGGATCGCTAAGAATTAGAAATTACTCAATGGCATCTAACAACAACAACAAACTTTCATTATAAGGAGCCCTGATGGCAAAATGGTTTTGCACTTGGCTGCTAAGCAAAAAGTCAGCAGTTCTAACCCACCAGAGGTTCACAGGAGAAAGACTTGGTGATCTGCTCCCAAAAAGATTAAGTAGAGCCTGGGAAACCTTAGGGGGCAGTTCTACTGTTTCATAGCATTGCTATGAGTTGGAATCCACTCAAAGGTACCTAACAACAACAACATTGTCATTAGTATTCAAATGTGTCCCTACTCCTCAGCAACCTTGCAACTTTCCTGATTGAAATGCACTCTTTAGCAGGACAATTATTACCCTTTCCTTGAGAAGACTGGAGAATGCTGAAATAGCATATACCGGTTTGTATTGTTCTATGTAGTTTCTGCTAATTAAATTTCTGTGTTATTGTGGTGAGAATTCTTTGCCCTATATTCCAGATAGGTCTCAATCCAGGGGGAAAAGGTGTACATGGCAATATGTAGCTAGAAATATTCCATTAAAAGTTTAACTTGGGAAAAGGAAAGTAATAAATGTCATGGGCCAAATGTGTGTGAAATCACTGTCTCCTGCACTGTGGACAGATGTGTAAATTGCTATAGTCTTTCTGGAGGACAATTTGGCAGTATCTCCAATTTTACTATATACACAGCCTTTATATTTTTATGTATAGACATCTATTCTGGGGACATACTGACATATATAACCAAAGAAGTATATACAACTCCCCGGGTGAGTGACTTTGTTACCTAAGCCACTACCTTGAGGTTGAGAGGAGGCCAGCTGGCACTCCACACCTGCCGAAGGATCTCTCTGTCCCGGGTGCTGATCAAGGACTCCAAAGCACATTCACTTCCTTTCCCAGAAACACTTCAAATCCTCCAGGAACTGGTATTCCAGGAGGCCCCCATGGCCTCTGACATACAACACCTGATTCCATAGCTTATATTCACACCCTGAGACTCTGAATTATACCAAGATAATCCTTTTCTTTGGCCACAATTCCTAAAGGCATCAGGAAAAGCAGTGATTTAGCAAGTTGTGATTTAGAAACGAAAAAGGTGCTAAAAAGTGTGTCTGAATCTCATGTTTGGCATTGTATTGCAAGAAACAATACCTTAATCAGAGGAAAACTAGTTGTGAAATAGAAAAAAGGAATCCGGTCACCTGTGAGTACTGCCTAGGTAGTTTGTATTTTTATTAAATTTTTACTGCTCTACTACCTCTCGCCCCACCCTCCCTTCCAGTGGCACTGAAGGTATAAATTGGAGCTGAACTTGGTGTGTACATCACATCAAAGGCCAACATGAAGACAGGCATAGTTTTGGTTCTGGTGGTTTTCATCACCCTGCAGATGGAGATGGCCAGTGCTAAGGGATTTCTTTCCAGAGGTCAGTGTGTGAGGACATCCTACTAAAAGCAGATAAAGCTGAATCTCACCTTGGACCTGGGGATGGTTTGCCACAGAAGCAGGCAATACCTCCATTGCAGAGTGCAGATTTGGTATTGGTCAGACACATTTCCTCTGATAATGTATGACATTATCAACCTGCATGTCCCATTCTCCTTAATAGATTCAGTTAGTCTGGTTAGTTGTTGAGGGTAAAGAGAAGGGTCTCTCCTCTAGTTAGTAGACATGCTTGGATGTAGGACTCTATGAGGGAGTAGCTCCAGAATGAACCTGGAAAGTGTGGGAATGGGGAGATGGGAACCTGGAATCAGAGATAATATAGTATCTGCTTATGAAGAGATGTGAAGGAACGAGTTATGTCAGTGCAGGTGTCTGACTTGTGACACTCTGCAGTCTTTGGAGCAAAGAAAACATTCTCCAAGGGCCACATTGTGGAAATAGGGACTTCAGAGTGAGGGTGTGGCCGCCAAGGCTAAAGGAAGAGTTCAGGAGCATGAAAGAAGAAATAGAAGATGGGCTGGAGTCCTGCCAGATGTGAGGGCTCCAGACTTCCAGCATCAGTTCTCCTTCCGATCTGCCCAAAAATCATTGCATATTTCAGGGCAACAAAGACCTGGAGTCTGTCCAAAGGTGCTGAAAGATGCTACAGGGAATTGTGTTTCACAATGCTCAGGAGATTAATCATGCCTATTAAGAATGAAATGCTGCAGCAATGGGTGTGGCAAAGTCTGCAGAATTCCTCTTTTCCCAGGAAGTATAAGTCAGTCAAGAACTGTCCAAGGGGGTAGACAAGTCCCCACTGGACTTTGCTCCAAGAGAAAGGGGTTAGAAGCAAATGCCAGAAGGGCTTCTACTTGCTTTATCTAAGTCCCTTCCCTAGAAGAGAAGCCGCATAGTCCTGAGGGGCCCAACTGAGATAAGTATCCATGACCCTAGACTCACAGGATCATTATTTACCAAGAATTTCTCATCCTCTTCCTTTCCCCCTAAAGAGCGCTGGTGGCGTAGTGCCTAAGGCATTTGACTGCTAACCTGAAGGCTGGCGGTTCAAACACAACAGCCACTGTGTGGAAGGAAGACTGGGCAATCGACATCCATGAAGATTTACCACTTCAAAAACCCAATGGGGGTCGCTATGAGTCAGAATTGATTCCATAGCAGTGAGTTTGATTTTTTTTTTTTTTTTTTTTTTGGTCCTTTCCGCCTTACCCCCAAAGAGGGAAAGCATTGTGCTTAAGTCTTCCTGAAAAATGGGTGATCCTGGATGGAGGAGAGAAAGGAATGTAAATCTCTAATTTACTACTTTCTATGTCAGGGCAGGCATTGTGCTGAAGTTGAGATGAAAAAATAAATACAACCAGGTCAGAAAGGCAGGCCCATATCAATAATTACAACTTAATGGGATGAGTGCTTTGTGTAGATTTTTAATAAGTTCAAAGGGAGCAATGAGAGGGGTCATTAGTTTTGCCTGGGTGAGTTGGGAAAGGGGTCAGAGGGGAGAACATTTGAGAAGGGGCTTAAAGGATGCAAAGTTCACCAGATAAAGGAAGGGCAGTCTAGATGATGGGGAAATGTGGGCCGCCCTTTTGAGATGATGCAAAGAATGTGGGTCCCCCTTTGGAGATGGGCAAGTGATGATTGTGGTTAGAAGTGGAGTGTCTTGGAGGGACTGTAGTGGGTCATCCGAGCCAGGGTTCAAAGGGTAATGAGCAGCATGCCAAGGAGATGGAAGGGTACCTTTCTGGAGGTGTTTTAAGCAAAGGAAATGTCATGAACCAATTTGTGTTTTAGAAGGATAGCTCTGCTGGCCATGGGAAAAATGGACTGAACCTTTATTAACCCTTCCTGATGACCAGCTATGGAAGATTTCTCATGAATCCATGAATCCCATGCTTGACATAACAACAAGATCTCCTCCACATTCCACTCCTTGGCTATTCTCTATCTTTGGAATTGCAGCCCTAGAAGAGGGAGACCTGTAATGAGCTTGTGTCCAAAATAAATTGTACCTGTGACATTATTCAGGCTGAGTGATTCTTCCCATTTAAGAATTCAAATGGGCCCTCTATGGGCCAGCAGCACCACACATGTTCACTAAAGTGAGTCCCATGAAGGCAAAATACTTAGGATACCAACAAATCAAAGACAAGATTCTCCTAACTAATTTCTTATCTATATCTCCAGGCAAGGCACAGGCATAAGAATATTTTCTCAGGGCTTCTGTGAACATAATTTCTGTCAAGCAAACACAATTAAATGCCCATGTAGCACACATCAGGCCTGTTGGGGCAGCTTTTATTGGGGGTGGGGTTACCCAAAAGGAGCAGGAGCTAGTGTAGGGATAACCCATTCTAAGTCAGCACCAAGCCTAGTAGGAGCCCTTCTCCAGGAGAGTGACCTTGCCCTTGGGCAGTGAGGTTTCACTTGGCATTGGACACATAGAGATGTTTCAACTTTTGCCTCAGGGTGATTAGGAGTCAGGATACAATAGGTTACTTGCAGGAACTTTGGCTCCACCCCTATTCTGTCAGCTCAGCACTGATGACTGTGAAGTACCACCCTTTTCCTGGTCTGAAGAGTGGGGCTGGGGTTTAATCCCTGCCCAGGGTTGACTGTTGAAGCTGTCACCACCACTAGCTTT